AACCCCCCCTTAACCCCCCCCCCAAACCATAACAAAATAATATATTGCCCCCCACCTAGCAAAAGTCCTAGTTGCGCCTCTGTATTCCATACTCATAGGTGAAATTTAGCACTTCAGGAATATTTTTAATTCATAATTCAAATAGACAGGTTAGGGAATATATAGATTTGAGAAGCAAGGATACTCGTGTAAGATGACAACACCTGGTATTCTCACAGTACATTGTATACTGTATAGACAGGTTAGGGAATATATAGATTTGAGAAGCAAGGATACTTGTGTAAGATGACAACACCTGGTATTCTCACAGTACAGTGTATACTGTATAGACAGGTTAGGGAATGAGTTTTTTCTCCTTGGAAAGTTTAGTTGGAAAGATTATAGATATTTTTTACGTTTTCTACGGGGTTTCCGTCTTATTTGAGCAATACATCATTCCAAATATTATATTACTTTTTTCCCCAAAGTACTTAATTATTAATTTAAACACTAGGATTTAATTTTACAATGATTGTGATTTAATTGGGTTTTCTTACCTTCCTTAGATTATATTGTTCTAAACTCATACTTGTATTATGTTATTCAGACAATTTACATGGTATTAATCAATAAAGAACTAGTTCTAGAACTGGGTTTCTTGTAAACAAACAATATTTTGTAAACATTTTGGTAATATTCACAATAAAGAAATTTAGTCTTTGCTACAAACTCTGATTTTCTTCTCCCTCCTTATATCTTTGCAACCCCAAATCGTAGACATTAGATATTTCAAACTTTGAATTCTGTTAGATCAAATAAGTTTGAATTATTACAGGTTTACACCGTCATATTGCAAAGATAGTAATACAGGATTAGAAATATGAGTTTGAGGCCAAGGCTTAATTTTATTATTTTCTTATTTTCTTCATTCAACGAATTAGCATATATAACTTCACTTCATTCTTGCTATAATATGTTCATTTCAAGTTTGAGGGGAGGGGGAGAATAGGACTTACCCAAGGAGTTTTATTGGTTAATTTTGTTTTATTCAGTAAAATATCCCACATTTTCTAGGAGGGGGATGCAGTTGGTGTTCAAGGCAACCCTCATAGAAATGGATAAACAAGTTCTATTGGACTTTAGGCTCTCCAGGGGAGATGGTATAGAGTTCAAGAGAAGGTAAAATAAACAGTTATATTGTAGAGGGGAGATGATATAGAGTTCAAGAGAAGGTCAGATGATCAGTATATATAGTGTAGAGGGAGCTGGTATAGAGTTCAAGAGAAGGTAAGATAAACAGTTATAGTGTATTGGGGAGATGGTTTAGAGTTCAAGAGAAGGTAAGATAAACAGTTATAGTGTATTGGGGAGATGGTTTATAGTTCAAGAGAAGGTAAAATAAACAGTTATAGTGTAGAGGGGAGATGGTTTAGAGTTTAAGAGAAGGTAAGATAAACAGTTATAGTGTAGAGGGGAGATGGTATAGAGTTCAAGAGAAGGTAAGATAAACAGTTATAGTGTAAAGGGGAGATGGTATAGAGTTCAAGAGATGGTATAGAGTTCAAGAGAAGGTAAAATAAACAGTTATAGTGTAGAGGGGAGATGGTTTAGAGTTCAAGAGAAGGTAAAATAAACAGTTATAGTGTAGAGGGGAGATGATATAGAGTTCAAGAGAAGGTCAGATGATCAGTATATATAGTGTAGAGGGAGCTGGTATAGAGTTCAAGAGAAGGTAAGATAAACAGTTATAGTGTATTGGGGAGATGGTTTAGAGTTCAAGAGAAGGTAAGATAAACAGTTATAGTGTAGAGGGGAGATGGTATAGAGTTTAAGAGAAGGTAAGATAAACAGTTATAGTGTAGAGGGGAGATGGTTTAGAGTTTAAGAGCAGCTAGTATAGAGTTGAGAAGTAGCTAGTATCCTATAGAGGGAGGGAAGGCCAGGTGCATGATTTCTGCAGCCCAGGTTAAGTCACAATCTTCTTCCATGCCACCTCTGAATATCAGATGCAGAAATGATGTGGTTAGCCTTTTTTTCCTCTGCTATCGATAGTTGAGATTGAGCTTGAGCTTAACATAGATTCCTTTCTTTGATAACTTTTATATTTCAGGTTTACCAACATCAAGTCCAGCATGGAGATGATCATTGTTAAAGGTCCAATCATGTGGTCTCTGGCAATTCATTCTGATGCCCTTCCAGGGGTCTGATTTGACCTGCTAGAGTGCTAGGGGTCTAATGTGACCTCTCGGGGTCTAATGTGATCTCTCAGGGCCTAATGTAACCACTCAGAATTTAATTTGACTTCTTTTAAGCAATTGTCCAAGCGACCCAACTAGAATTAATTTTTCAGAATTTAAACACAGAATATGCATATATTCCACTTGAATAATGTATCTGTTAACTAACTGTATAGAATATTGAATATATGAATATCAAATATCAACTATTAATGTTGTTTTTTTTGTAGTGTTCATTTGCCATAATACTTTTGCGATAATTACACTTTCCATAATACCTTTGCCGTAAGTAACACTTACCGTGAGTTACACTTGTCATAAGTCACACTTGACATAAGTTACACTTGCTAAAATGGTTACACTTGCCATAATTCCACTTGCTGTAATTTACTTTTGTCATAATTTTCTAATCTTTAAAAAGATATAAATCTGTCTTTTTTATTGTAAATGCGGGAAATTTTCCAATGAAAATCCCCACTTTAGTTTTCTCAATGTTTTAAAACAGAACAGTTGACACAAGTTCAGCTCCATTTAAGGAGCTCGCCTTTAGATGCTCATAGAAATAAACGTTAATCAACCAATCAACAAGTTCAGCTCCATATTTTCTCACAATGGAGGACTCTTTCATGACCTTTGAGACCACAATTAAAGGATAAACCAAAGGTTCGAGACAGCAACAACCACACCTATGTAGCCAATACCTCGTCTTCAGAAGTGAAATGTGCTCAGCTCGAATTCGAACCCACATTCGAACTGTCTCTGAATTAGATTTGTAATTTGTATTTTATTTTTAATAAAAAATAATATATATATATATTATATATATATATATATATATGTTTGTTAGTCCTAACCAAATTTAATTTTACTTATGGCAAATGTATTCATTCAGTTCCTGATATTTTTACTGATAACAATCAAACTTTTGTAGGATCTAGTGAAATTGCGGAAGGTTTTAATGATTTTTTTTGTCAACGTGGGACCTAAACTGTCTAGTTACATTCCGGAATCTAATGTCACTTTTGAAACGTATTTAAATGAGTCCATAAATGAAAATTTTGTTTTTGCAAATATTACACCGGAAATTATTTAAGAAACAGTAAGTAAGCTAAAACCCAAGAACAGATTGTATCGATTATCCTATAGCACATTTATTTAATCTTTCTTTCAAAACAGGATATATCCTTAGCGAGTATAAATGTGCAAAAATTATTCCCATCTTTAAAGCGGGCGAAAAAGATAAGTTTAATACTTACAGACCTATAAGTATTCTTCCAGCTTTGAGTAAGCTACTTGAAAAATTGCTGCAATACAAATGTTCAGATATCTTAACAAGTTTTACGAGCACCAATATGGATTTAGACCTAAGCATAACACAAATCAACCACTTTTGCACTTAATGAATGAAATCTATGAAAACCGTAATAAATCTAAACCAGAATTTACACTTGGAATATTCCTAGACTTAAAGAAAGCTTTTGATTGCTGTGATTTAGACATACTTTTAAAAAACTAAATCATTATGGTTTCAAAAATGTGACCAACACCTGGTTTAAAAATTATCGTGTTAATAGAACTCAATATGTGTGTATAAATGGAGCTTTTTCAACAGAAAGAATTATAACATGTGGTGTTCCTCAAGGAAGTGTTCTAGGGCCCCTGCTTTTTCTGCCCCTAGCAACATCTTTTTTTACCAGCCTCTTTGCCGATGATACTAGTTTTTATAAGTCATCTCCTGACATTGCAAGCCTAATACTTGATGCAAACACTGAACTAAAAAAAGCAGCAAAATGGTTTCAAGCAAATCGTTTGTCACTAAATGTCTCCAAAACAAAGTATATAGTATTTAGAAATAGAAATATGCACTTTGACCCCCAACAGTTGTAATATATCAATAGGAAATGAGATACCTTAAAGGATTGGTAATGACTGTGCGAACAAATATTTCAAATTTGTTGGACTTAAACTTGACGAATTTTTAAACTGGGATTTTCAAATTGAACATATCTCGAATAAAATTGCTAGCTCAATATTTGCTTTGTCTCGAATTAAGAATATCTTACCATTAAATATTCGTCTACTTGTTTATAACTCTCTTGTAAGGCCTCATATTGAATATGGAATTGTTACTTGGGGAGGGGTAAAAAATTCTAAACTGCAAAAAATCAGATCTTTGCAAAAAAAAAAGACAATCAGAGCGGTTAATAATAGTACTTTCAAGGCACATTCAAATCCATTATTTTACTGAAAGTTCTTAATCTTGATACATACAAACTTTGTGTTCTGACATTTATGCATGGATACTGTAATGATAACCTTCCTTCTTCCTTCCAAAACATGTTTAAGTCTTTAGCTGAACCAAATAGAACAAAATCATATAAATTAGAACGGGTTTTAAACAAAAATTTAGAAATCTTTCCGTCCGCAATGTTTCCTAAATTGTGGAATGAGATTGAAATTGACCTTAAAGAAACTAAATCTGCAAAAATATTTAAACAAAGAGTAATCAATATTTATCTTGAGAATTATGAGAGGTTTAAATGCTGAAAACCTAGCTGTATTTCGTGTGAATAATTTTTATATAAAAAAAAAACTAAAATAACTGAAACTTTATTAGCTTATTTCTGTTTTTGTAACTACCATCATTAACACCCTGTATTTTAAATTTATCTCTACATAAAAATCCCTCTGATCTCACCCTGCCACAGATCTCCTGACAATCTCCTTCCTTCCAATCAACTCCTTACCTATCCAAAAACATATGTTGATATGTGTAACCAATTATATTCAGTATCGTTAATTAACTTAGGGCCAACCACTCAAAACAACCAACCCTGGTTAGGCGGGTCCAAACTGCATAGTAAATTGTGATTGCTTATTTGTAATATCTCATGCGTTGTAGTTGAATAAATATATGAATATGAATATTATGGCAATTGTAATTATGGCAACAGTAATATGGCAAATGAAACTGAGCCCATTTACATTACATTGTACAGTGTTCACTCAGCAGCATTTGTATATTGAGCATAATATGCAGACAGACTATAGAATAGATGGATGGATGGATAGATGTAGATTGTCCCGCGAATCGAAACATGACGGTTGGTGAATAGTTTTGAATGCCTTTTTTATATAGTGTATTAGATATTGAAAGAAGACATTTAAAACTATTCACCAATTGTAGCTAAATAGCCGACATATCAATACACTTTATAGATGACAAGATAGATAGATTTAAAAATATGTGAAAAGATAAAACACTTAACAAATAATAGTAATAATTAACAATTTATTGTTTTTAACATTGCATTTTATCACATTGTTATTTCTATAGATGTAGGATTTACATAAATGCATATTTGCGCTGACTAAGTTTTTTTGGTGTGCCAAGAAAATTAAAACATTTTAGTAATTGCATCACATTATCACAAAATTTATATGGCCGCTCGCATACAAGGAAACTATGAGAAATAAAAATTGTTCAAAACAGAAAAACAATGATATCTTCCTCCTGGTTACTCAGGCAAAGGTGTTAGAGAGTACCTTGTATTTACTATACAATGGCGGGTCACTGGAAACCACAGCGGTAAAAATTTTATTAAAAATAAAAAATATGAATTTTCAACAATAATAAAATTTTAAGGGTTTATTTAAGGATTCACTCAAAGAACTTTAAACTTTTTACTTTTTATAAACCTTCTCAGGATTTGATTTTCTTGGAACTCTGGATAAAATGATTTGTGTAGAACAAGCATCAAAAAGTTTTTAAAAATTAAAGAGAAAAATATCAAACATTAAGACTCAAAAAAATATCATTATTGGATTTATTCAGAACTCCATATTTAATAAGGCTAAGAGAATTTTTTTTTGCAGAAAATGATAGATTTTTTGAGTATAATGTGCGTATTTAGGTGTTTTAAAGATTGGACATAATCTAGTATGATATGGCACGCTCATACATATTAATATCACAGGTTTTATAAAGTTGTAGGCAATTATATCAATACAATTAAGACGAATTTTGATTTTGATTTATATCAAGCAATGGCATATATACGCATAAAGTCAAGAAAAGCTTTCAATAAAAAAGCTTTTCTTCATTACTTGTATTTCGAACAAAGCTTGTCACAATAAAAAAGTCTTACGTCTTCATTGTATTGATATAATCGCCTACCACTGTGAGTTATTACAAATTGTAATTGGATTTTGATCCATCCTAAAAGCTCAGAGGTTCTTGAATTCAAAATCCAATTTAAACAAGATTTGGAAAATAATGTTTTTATCGAGTTAGGGAAAACCTAAAACTCAAAAACTTGAAAAATACGAAATTATCTGTTGCTTGGTCCAAAAATGTTGCATTAAAAATGTGCAACGATATTGCGAGTTTTTTCTTAACCCTATCACGGTTGGAGGGGGAGGGTAGTTTTCACCCCCCCCCCCTTTGGTTTATTCTGAATAACTTAAAAATGGCTTATATTAGATCGCTAAAACTTCTTTACTTTTTCAATATCATAGTTGTGAACAAATTTTGCTAAACAACTTTTTTTTATGCATATGGGTAGGGTGGAGAATGGTTAAACGGCGGGTTGGTGTTTAAAATAATCAGAAATGGTTTGTAACTTTTTTATTACTCAAGGTGCAGTGATAAGATTTTTTTATTTGAAAAGGCCATGAAAAATAGATATAATATCATGCGTCATATGTTAATTTTTGTCAAAAGTAAAAGTAATTATTTTTGAAAAAATTTTCGACATACTTTTTGAACTTTTTAAAAATCCTCCCTCACACCCTAACCATTAAAGTTAGAGTCTAATTTTTGTTTAATGAGCAGACCTGGAAAAGTTAGATAGGGACATGTATCACCACTCCCTAATCCATAATCTTAACTTTACGGGAAAAATCATAGGGGAGGGGTCAGAACCCGCCCCCCTCCATCTATCTTTGACAAAAATAGCCCAATTAAAATAATATTATTTCCATAATTTCCATCTTGGGGCTCTTAATTGTGATTTTCTTTTTTATTTGATTTTGTGAAATCTAAAGATATTTCAAATAATGGCCAAAGCCAACGTATTGAATTTATGTCATGTTTTATACATGCAATTATCGTTAATTCAGTAATGACTGCTTTGCAACTGATTTACTTCATTTGATCGTAATTGCCTTACTTCTTATGATTCATATGTTTCAAAAAATGATAATTTATTGCAAAAATTAATTTAAAAAATGCTTTTTTTGAGAAGCTGGAAAAAATATTTAGATGTTGTAACCTAACGTTATAAAGGTAAAACTATTACCAATAACAAACATATTCGATAAGGAAATGAGCTTTTGCCGCCAACTAATTTTTTATCATTGCAACCGAATACTGTAGACCTTTGATACATAAAAGCTATGAATTCTGTTTGATTAAATAATCTAAGTTTGAAATACCAAAAGTTTGCACCACCAGGTTGCCAACTAAAAGAAATTATAAACTTTGAGCCGGAGGCTTAAACGCAGTTTCTTTTGTGTGCATATTGGAACTGGGTGATAAAATCTAAACTATGGAGTTAAGAAGGAGAACACAGAGAAAGCAAAAAATGTTTGCAGGCACAATTCCCATACAGGCCCTGAAAAAAAAATATTTTTTTTCATATTCACGATTTGATTTTTCAAAAATTCTTCATTATAACTTAACTTTTTTGGAAAATATGCTTTTTCCCTCTGCTTTATTTCCAAAATTATGGAAATCGGTTGAATTAGAGCTTTAAGAAACTGCAAAACTGTTTTTAAAAAATCTTCAAAAACTATTAGAAAATCATCCAAGTTGTATCTAAAAAAATAACTGTTTTTCATGTGGATAAACAATTAGTCTTTGCTATCTTCTTCACCCTATAATTCATAAACATGATTCTAATAATATATGTTACCCTCTGTTACAACCCTTCCGCTGAGTACCCACCCTTTTCCTAATACTTTTTCACCCCCTTCTTACCTTCTTCCTTATTTATCATCATTGTTTTGTTTAAAATGCACACTGTACAGTTGTTGACACAAATAAAAGAACAAAAGGGATATTCCTTAACTTTATTGAATAATAAAATTAAATTTGTTTTAAAATAGTGACCCTTAAAAAGGGGTTATCTAAACGGTTGAAAATGAAATAACATTGATTATTGGTGATAAAAGGAATGGAACAATTGGAGCTTCATGATGGTCAGCTCGCAGGTGTCAGCATCTTGGCAGCAAAGAGTTCACATCTAGGCGACGGTCCAGGAGGGTTTGCAGTCTGGAACATGTGTGGGGCCGGAGGAACGATTTGCCTCTCATACCACAGGACATGCGACTGGGTTTGCAGTCTGTAACATGTGTGGGGAGGAAAGATTTGCCTCTCATACCACAGGACATGCGACTGTTTTGTGGATTAGGACATCTGGAGGCTTAGACATTAGCAGCATTTGTTGCTAGAGTAGGCATCTGCGGCAGTTGAAGGAGTTAATAGTTCCTGATCGGAGGTGTTGACATCTCAAAGTTCTAAAGCTAACTGACGCTGTTCTCCACGAGTAGAGGCGGTAAAGGGGGGGGGGGACATGAGGAGACACATTTGGAGTAGGGTTTCCACCGGAATTCCGGGTTACGGTTTACGTACGGAAATGATCCGGAAATTTTTTCCATTTCCATTATGGAAAAGGTTCCGGAAAACCAGAATTCCGGAACGATTTCCGGAACGATTTTTTTCCCGTAATTTTCAAACTTTGTAAATATGAATTTAATTAAAATAAGAAAAATTCTTTAAGTTCCGGTTTACGGAATGGAAATTTTCCAGTTTACGTTACGTAAACCGTAAAAATTTCCGGTTTACGGAATGGAAACCGGAAATTTTTCCGATTTACGAAATGGAAACTGGAAATTTTACGGTTTCCATTCCGTAAAACGGAAATTTTTCCGGTTTACGTGACGTAAACCGGAAAATTTCCGGTTTCCATTTATACCGGAATTATCCCGGAATTCCGGTTTACGCAACAAATTTCCGGATCATTCCATTTCCAAAATGGAAATTTTTTCCGGAAAAATGGAAACCCTAATTTGGAGCGGATATAGTTTTATGTATTGTAAATCTTGCGCGGTCAACTTCGATACACAGTAGTAATCGTCTTCGTGTTTTCTTGAATTTGTTACAACAGTGTACATCCATCTATTTATTTACAATTCTTATTCGCTTATAATGGGCCAACCAATCAAAACAACCAACTCTGGTTAGGCGGGTCTAAACTACATAGTAAATTGTGTTTTTTTATTTGTATTATATCGTGGTTTGGAGTTGAAAAACAAATATGAAAATATGAAAAAATGTTTCAACGCTTTACTTTTTAACATATTTCAAATATTTCATAATGTTATAACCACGTTCCTTAACAATTTTTACTTTTTAACATATTTCATAATGTTATAACCACGTTCCTTAACAATTTTTACTTTTTACATTTTTCAAATATTTTATAATAAAATAGAGAGGTTCCTTAACAATTTTTACTTTTTTACATTTTTCAAATATTTTATAATAACATAGAGAGGTTCCTTAACAATTTTTTACTTTTTTACATTTTTCAAATATTTTATAATAAAATAGCAATTGTTCCTTTACAATTTCTACTTTTTTATATATTTCAAATATTTAATAATAAAATAGCAAGGTTCCTTTACAATTATTACTTTTTACATTTCTCAAATATTTCATAATATAACGGCCAAGTTCCTTAACAATTTTTACTGTTGTCTACCTAGACATTATCAAATAATAAAATTGGTTAATTACAATTTTCCCTTATAGATTTTGACTTCCTTCATTTTGTAATTTTTCTCTTCATCACAAATTTTGGTTAAAAGTGTAAGATTTTGCTAATTCTAAAAAATGAATAATCACCTTGAAACAATCCGTAGCTCAGGCTGAACAATCTTCACCCATTTACCAGACTTTAAAATAAAAAATTATTCCCTCTTTAAGTTTGTACAGAAAGAACCATAAATCTGTGGCATATGAAGAAGACAGTAAAGCAATATTTAAATGTATTTGATGTTGTTACAATGCAAATAAATTTACTAGTAACTTATTAATTCACTTATTAAGTGAAATTGGTCTGATTTAACTCCACAATTGCTGTACTTAATGTTCATTTAGAGCAATAGCTTGAGTATAAAAGTCGTCTTTCTATATAGCAGAGTTGTATTGCTATTAATTTAATGAATCATGTTTAAACAAATAAGATTATATCATAGGAAGATTAATTATTTTTTTTAATTTATAATGGCCACAATTCAAAATGTAAAATTTATTTCGTTTTTTGTAAATACTTCTTGTTTATATGTTGTATTCGATACCTGTATTAGGTTAGAAGAGCTAACTTCAAACCCCTCTTTTGTTTTAAGAAAAGAACTTGGAAATAATACTTCACCACCGCTCAATAATCCGCCCCACATACCAAAGGTTCTAAATGTTATTATCTCGTATTATGAATATAGAAGACGACTTTCAATTTTAATAAGACGACATTGTATATTATTTCGTGGAATCAATTTTAAGATTTTTTTATAAAGAAGGCGACTTTTTAGATAATTTAGATAAACTATAAGGAAGAAGGAAGACTACTTTTAATTGTAAGTAAAATATGACGACTTTTTACTATCTTACTAACTTAGATAAGACGACTTGAATTTTGTAAAAGAAAATTCAAACTTTTCCCAATCCATATACGTCACTCTTTGCCACAGTTCAACCCAGAACTTCAGAGATATCGAAATGATTTATAAAATGTCGTCTTCTTAACTTACAAATAATGGCATGCTGCAGATATTTAGTTTGTTAATTGAACAAATTAAGCTCTTTTTATATATTTTTAAAATTACTAAGATTTAAGCATAATAGTATAAAACCCGTTGAAAAATAGTGAAGACGACATTTACAAATTATTTCGATGACTCCGAAGTTCTGAGTCAAACTGTACCTGAAGTTGTAAACCTTTGATTAAATCAAACAATTATCAAAATTTTGTCTTTATAGGCGAGATTGACCAGTACTTCTTAAAAATTACTTTAACCCTTTTTAGACCTATTCCTGTAAAGAGATGGGTCACTTGTAAAAGAATTGAGTCTTTTTTCCACAAACTCTGATTTTTCATCTATATATCTTTGCAACCCAATGGTGTAGACCTTAAAATTTTAAACTATAAATTCTGTTGGATCGAATAATCAAGTCTAAATTATCAAAGGTGCTTACTATTAGTTGCAATGATTTATTGATTAGAAAATCATTTTAACGATTTTCAATAATGACCTTTTTCACAAACCCATAATCAACAAATTTAGAATCTCACCCATAGGTCATTATTGTGTGATTACATGATGCCAAGAGAGCCAAGTCCTCCCCTATATCCTAAATATCTATCTATTTAAAATTTTATATACTTTGCTTGTCTGTCTGGGTGTTTGTTTGTTTGTTTGTTCAAAACGGCTGAACCGATCGTGTCCAAATCTTGCGTTGGACCTCACATGACCCCATGGAAAAGTCCGGATGCATAAAAGTACAAAAAGTTGTGTTAATAACTTATCGAATTATGTTGAATTTTGAAAATGCGCGAAAAAAAATAGTATTAATCCCGCAATCTTGTTTTTGATTTTGTTTTATAGTGTGCTAAGAGAAGATGCTCACAGATATAGCCAGAATTAAAAGTTGAAATAGAAGAGCCTAGTATATGTACTTGTCTGTCTGGGTGTATGTTCGTTTGTATCCATGTAAAACGTCTGAACCGATTCTTGAGGAACCACATGACCCCAGGGAAAGGTTATGGCTGGTCAAAATAAAAAATAACTAAAATGGAATTTTGTATCAAAATTCCAGGAAGGATTAATATGAGTAACCTAAATACATTTGTCTGCAAAACGATGTATATATTCATTTTTCCGTCTTCAAGAATTGAATAATTCCTAATATTTTGTAATCTTCTAAGCTTAGATAACAAATACAGAACGTTTGTGAACTGTTTATGGAACTCTTTAAATAAGGCATTATAATCTCTTTAATTTTTGATTTTTTACTTTTATTACCTCTCCTGGTTTGAGTGGGTTCAATTCATCCTTCTCCTGGGTTCTGCAAAAATGAAAGATTAGCAAATTTTATTTAATGTAATTCCAAAATTTGCAAGTATACCTATCATGTCAGCAAACGTGAAAATACCTATCATGACCCAAAATGTGCAAATTACTTATCATTGTTCCAAAATGTACAAGTTACCTATAATGCCACCAAAATGTACAAATTACTAATTAGAAAATTACCTATCATTGACCCAAACTGTGCAAATTACCTATCATTGACCCAAACTGTGCAAATTACCTATCATTGTCCCAAAATGTGCAAATTACCTATCGTGTCCGACTTGTGCAAATTAAATAGCATGTCCTAAATTGTGCAAATTAGCTGTCATGTCACAAAATTAGCAAATTACCAATCAAGTCCCCAAATTGGAAAGTGGATATGTCCCAAAATTAGAAAGTGGATATGTCCCAAAATTAGCAAATTACCTTTTATGTCCCAAATTTTGCAAATTACCCATTATGTTCCAAATTGTGCGAGTTGCTTAATATGTTCCAAAATGTACAAATTTACTTATGATGTCTAATAATTTGCAAATTACCTATCATGTCCCAAAAAGAAGACATCCTCCCCTTCCATATTACTCCTGGCCCAACTAAGATCGTCACTAACCACAGCAAATACAATAGAATCAAACCTACACAAAAAAAAATTTAATTTTTTATAATTTCACCAACAATTCAACGAATTTCCATGATATCTTTTAAATTTGAAAGTTTAAGAAGAAATCTAAGATATCCGCGCTCTCATTCTATAATCACATTTCTAAAATAGACTATTGTTGAAGGTACCCTCCGACTTACGACTTACCCTTCAAATCTTTTGTCTGATCAAATGAGAATTGATTATAAAAGTGTTTATTAGAACAGTACGTTTAAGAGCCTTAAATCCAATACAAAACAACTAGGCTTCATCTATTTAAATTGTGAACATGTTCTTTTTGTTTACATTTAAAAACAAAGAAGAAGAAAAAAATCGCGGATTTTCAAGAATTTAAATTTTTTTACAAAATTCAAAATCTTTAAAACACATTTTTTTTAAATTTTTATCATTTATAAACCTTCCCTGTGGTCACGTGATGTCCCAAAAAAAATTTGGGCCCGATCGATTCAGTCGTTTTGATGTTTATTGGATACAAACAGACAGACAAACAAACAGACAGACAAGCCAAATTTATATATAGATGATAACTCACTTATTCCTGTAATATTCCATGGCCCTATTGAAGTAAGCTGCGTCGATCAAAGTAAGATTATACATCTTCACAAGGTGTTGACCATAGTCACTCCTAGACAATATGTTTAGTGAAGTATTTTAAAGGGATTGCCTCCGAATTGTTGAGTAACTCTTTATCTACAGGGTTACCCAAAAAGAATGAGACTTTCGTTTTGTCTGTTTAAATTCGCAGTTCCCGCAGATTTGTACTCGTTTGTCCCAATAAACATGGGAATTGAGAAACGACTTGAAAGTCGTCTTTGATTTCTGATATTTAATGCAAGGCAAAGAAAGTTTAAAAAAAAGAGGCTGCACGTCTAACGAACTTTTCATAAATTGGTCTACCTTTCTTGTATCTTAACAATTGACGAAGACAATTTTGATTTATTAAATAAATTGAAATTATAAATTTTGCAATATCTCCGTTAATTTGGAATGGAAGATACAAAAATGATAGTTTTCGATATTAGATGTTTAAACTGGTATACTGCTATAATTGTGTTCATTGTGTTCCACATGTCTCGAAGACGATATAAAATCGTCACTGAATTCCCATGTTTATTGGGACACTCTTTAATGCTTAAACAGTTTAAGTTTAAAGTATCCATGAAATTATCATCCTTTGTGGGTAAACCTGTCTTTAACAATTTAATTAGGGGGTTATTAATGTTTTTCAAAAGAAATAAACTGTATTTTTTCTAACAACAAAGTGTTTTTTGTACCATAAATATATTTTTTTCATCAAAACTGTATTTTAAAAAGTGAGCGAATATTTTTTTTAAATGTACCTTCTAACATGTACTCCAATGAATGTGACGTCTAAATGTACCTTCTAACATGTACTCCAATGAATGTGACGTCTCCACTTAAACTCCGACTTTTCTTCGCAGAATAAAGTTTAGTCTGTGCAGCGTCAGAAAACCGTTTCCGAAACCGGAACAGAGGTTTTATTTCTTCAAGATTCTAAAAATTAAGTTCTGAACAATGTATTTAGAGGTAGATAAGTTAATCGTTTGTAGGGTGTTGGGACATTTCAAAGACGGACTTTCATAGAAAGAAAACAAAAATTTCGTAGATAACAAATTTCCTCCGTCTATGGAAAACTGCTCTGTCTATGAAATGTCCAACCATTAATTTTTTTATCTAAGAAATGTCTTTATATGAAATGTCCCAAAGCCGTTTAAGGTCAGTTTTCACACATTCAAGGTGTATTGGCTTTAAATGTGTTCTGATAGGGTTATGAGACGGTTTGGCACACAACAAAATCCTAGGTTTTATAACGATCTATTCAATCTCAAAACGATCTCAAAACGATCACAAAACGATCTCAAAACGAAGCCCATCAGTATATAGAGTTCAGAGTCCATTTTGGTCGTGAGTGCACTAGAGAAGTAGTTTAAAAAGTCATATATAGTTTAACTACTTCTTCTTATCAATTCAATTATGAATTTGGAAAGAGAAAAGTCGATGAACAAGTCACGTTAAAATTCGTTTATAACTGGGTTCATACTCGTTGTTGTGTTGAATTTAATACCTGGATATAGCTCTCTAAAAGATTTGGATATTTTCCTATATCTATACTCCGTCCTCTTAAGTACTCGGGCTTACTAGATATAGGTTAAAATTGATTTTTTACTTATTGTCGTCATATTTATCATGTTATATATATTATACAATATAGACGACTAATTTATATTTCAATTTTTATTGCTACCAAGCTTTTAAACAGCTGGGATACAAATAAAATGGAATCAAAGAGAACCTATCAATTAACAGATTCTTTCAAACAGAGATTCTTTAAAACAGATTGGATACAAATAAAATGGAATCAAAGAGAACCTGTTGATTAACAGATTCATTCAAACAGATTGGATACAAATAAAATGGAATCAAAGAGAACCTATCAATTTACAGATTCTCTCAAACAGCTGGGATACAAATAAAATGGAAACAAAGAGAACCTATCAATTTACAGATTCTTTCAAACAGATTGGATACAAATAAAATGGAATCAAAGAGAACCTATCAATTAACAGATTCTTTTAAACAGATTGGATACAAATAAAATGAAATCCAAGAGAACCTATCCATTAACAGATTGTTTCAAACAGCTGGGATACAAATAAAATGGAATCCAAGAGAACCTATCAATTTACAGATTCTTTCAAACAGATTGGATACAAATAAAATGGAATCAAAGAGAACCTATCAATTTACAGATTCTTTTAAACAGATTGGATACAAATAAAATGAAATCCAAGAGAACCTATCCATTAACAGATTGTTTCAAACAGCTGGGATACAAATAAAATGGAATCCAAGAGAACCTATCAGTTTACAGATTCATTCAAACAGATTGGATACAAATAAAATGGAATCAAAGAGAACCTATCAATTAACAGATTCTTTAAAACAAATTGGATACAAATAAAATGGAATCAAAGAGAACCTATCAATTTACAGATTCTTTAAAACAGATTGGATACAAATAAAATGGAATCAAAGAGAACCTATCAATTAACAGATTCATTCAAACAGATTGGATACAAACAAAATGGAATCAAAGAGAACCTATCAATTAACAGATTCTTTAAAACAAATTGGATACAAATAAAATGGAATCAAAGAGTACCTATCAATTAACAGATATTCTCTCAAACAGATTGGATACTAATAAAATGGAATCAAAGAGAACCTATCACTTAACAGATTCATTCAAACAGATTGGATACAAATAAATTGTATAGAAAGAAAAAATCATTGAATGATTTGTACGATATTAATATCAACCAAAAACTGAATCATTTTAAAAATCTTAAAAGAAAAGGATACGTTGATTTTATTCAAATTTTTTAAATGTGGAAAAACTAAGTCTGAAAATTGTTTTATTTTTCAGGGAAAATATAGGAGGAAGGGGGAAGGGTTCAGAAGAGCTCACTGTAAAAATTTTACCTGATTTCTGACACTGTAAAATTATATTTTTTATCGTCAAAGTTCCAAGGCAGTTCCCAAACTAATCGTCCAAAACTAAACAGTAAAAATATATTTAAATAAACTGTTTGCATGCATGAAAGTGAGTTTAGCTAATAGCATCAAGTTCATCAACTTCTGGAAATTCATAAGTTCCGACCCGTTCTCTACTGTATTAATAATATTCTAGTAATCAAATCAAAAAATAATAATAGTATATAATAAAATAAATATAATAATAATAAATATAATATTCTCTGTTTTATTCTACTTTTATATTCTTCTCGAACATTCTCTTTAAGAATAAACACATTTCTTTTCTTTTGAATAAAATGTATTTCTATCAAAATGGAAATAAAAATGAAATGTTTGTTTACTTAATATAAACGAAAATGTAATTAAAACGACAGAAATTTTTCTCAAAAAAACTTTCAGGTATCACTAGCTCTGTAAAGAAAATTGAATTTACATATTTTTAAATAATTATAAATTGTCTCAATCTAATTAGTCAAAAATATCAATATTCCTCATAAAAGTTTCTCAAATCAGTAAATCAAATGTTCTTTAAACATTTAAAATAAATGGAAAGAGTGTCGGTATGATTGCAGATTGCTTAATAACTAAGAATAGTCTCAAACTAAGTAATAAATAATATCAATATTTCTCATAAAAGTTTCTAAAATCAGTAAATCAAATATTCTTTAAAAATTTTAAATAATGTTAAGAGTGTCGGAATAATTGCAGATTGCTTAATAACTAAGAATAGTCTCTAACTAATCAATCAATAATATCAATATTTCACATAAAAGTTTCTCAAATCAGTAAATCAAATATTCTTTAAACATTTTTAAATAATGTTAAGAGTGCTACCTAAATAGACCGAGAAAACTGGAAATATACTCTGAATACTCAACCTGCAAAAGTTAAAACAAATTTTAAAAAATATCAAATTATAATTATTAAGCTTTCTTATTTTTTTCTAGAATGAATTTTTTAATTTCAAACAATTGTCAAAATGAAAATTGAATATTTCCTCGTCTGGTTTACACGAGAATTTCCATAAAACTGTATTACCTCTAAAACATGAAATTCTCTCTGAATATTTGGTTCGAAATAATATAGAAGGAGGCTGCTTTGCTCCTAGAAATTACATAGTAAAACTTACTCTAAAGAAGACAACATAGAATTTACATAATGTCGTCTTGAAAGCTATTTAGTTATTTTTGCTAAGGATTACAGAAACTGTCTTTTATATCTTCAAAGGTTTCTGCTCGCAGCTTCACAGGAATAAAAGTAATGTACTAAAACATTCTGCAAATTTCTGTGTTGAGAGATTAATAGCGAGTAAACACGCAGAAAATTTATCATTAACAGTTTTGTTTTTAAAATGCCTTCTCGTTCATTAAAACACAGAATATGAAAACAAGAATGGGAACATAACATGTATTTTGTTAAGTTAAGGTGGAAAGGGTTTTGCTAGAAAAGGCTATCCCTCCCTCTACTCGAAAAAATGTGACAATTGGAAAGGCTTTAGTTGTCAAACTTAAAAAAAACATAGCTTTGGTTGTTCATTTTGTTTTATAAAAAATTCTGATTAGTGCGCGCACATAAGTTCAATTTTGTTGCAAAACAAACTTTATTACTTTATCACAGTTTTAGGAACGTTCTATTATCCATATGGTCTTACAGCTCTAGTATTCTTTTGAAAAAAATTGCTTTGATTTTGATTTTGGTTTTCTATATACAATCTTGTATAGTAAGTTTGTTCGAATATTGTACAATTGAAAACTTTAATAGTCTAGGTACCTTACCTCTGTTACTACAGCTTTATATCCATATAGTTTTGAAAGGGAAAGAATGCTCGCAAAAGACGACATTTGATTTCCAAGTCGTCCTGAAACAAAACACATACAGAATATTCAAACAGCATTGATTTAAGATGTCAATTTTGGTCAAAACTTTGAACCGATTAATTTCTTCATTTTAGATTTAGAATTCTAATTGGAGTTTGGAAAATTAGCACATTTGATGAAATGAACATTTTGATAAACCCCTTGACCGATTTGTCTCAAATGTTGATAGGGGAACAAACCATGGTAATGTTCTTAGCTTTGTTAAAAAAAATACGAAGTGAGTGGGTTGACTTTTGTAGATAGTATAGATTTCCAGACAGAGCGGGATTCCCAAGCAGTAATAAATATAAATAAAACTCACCCTTTCCAAAAGAGCAGAGAATTGATGGTGATGAGGGTGGGAGGTTTCGGTACCAAGCATATTTATAATATAAATATAAACACAGCCACAGCAAAACTATATCATCCAAGAAATTAAAATTAATCAATGAAAAAAAATGAAAAGAAATAATTCATTTCTAATCCATATAGTTTAGTTGTCTGCGAGTTAAATAACAACTAAAAGTTTAAAACGGTAAAGCATTAAAAAAATGTATTCTTTAAATGTTGTAAATCTGCCAATTTTCATTTTTGACATTACAATTCTATGTTTCTAAATGTTAGACTTGTAGATGGATTAAATAGGTTGTAATATCTGAATGATTTGTTTGGAATTAAATTGATTTTTTACGATCCGAGTCGAATGTTGCAAATTTGAATTGACGCTACGTTCTTCGGTATGAGTCGTTTTTAACAATTTTCTCCTTATAGACGCAACAGATAGAAAGAAGATTAGTAGCGATCAACCATCAATAATTTATTGACGTAAGCATATATACCCCCTTTCATTTTTAGGAAACACTTTAACACTTTAAGCTTTACAAAGTTACCGTCCCTATAATTCAGCCAACCTTATTTTTCAAAAATATTTATATCATTTAAGTATCTTGATGTTCCTAAATATCTCCAATAATTTATCACAGATCTAATAAGAGTTTTGAAAATTAAAACCGGTTTAGATTTCTTATGTACAACAAGGCAGGGTAGGTTAAACAGTTCAGCATCTTTAGGCATTACATAAGTAAGATTTATCTGAAATTTTATGTTTTATTTACATAGGATTTCTTGGATGAATAGGTTGAATGAATTGGTTGAATGAATTGGTTGAATGAATATGTTGAATGATTTGGTTGAATGAATAGGTCGAATGAATAATTTGAATGAATAAGTTGGATTGATAGATTGAATGAATAGGTTGAATGAATAGGTTAAATGAATGATTGAATGAATAGGTTGATTGAATGGTTGAATGAATAGGTTGGCTGAATAGGTTGAATGAAAAGGTTGAATGACTAGGTTGAATGAATAGATTGAATGAATAGGTTGAATGAATAAGTTGAATGAACAGGTTGAATGAATAGATTGGATGAATAGATTGAATGAATAGGTTGAATGAATAGGTTAAATGAATGGTTGAATGAATAGGTTGGCTGAATAGGTTGAATGAATAGGTTGAATGACTAGGTTTAATGAATAGGTTGAATGAATAGGTTGAATGAATAAGTTGAATGAACAGGTTGAATGAATAGATTGGATGAATAGATTGAATGAATAGGTTGAATGAATAGGTTAGGTGAATGGTTGAATGAATAGGTTGGCTGAATAGGTTGAATGACTAGTTTTAATGAATAGGATGAATAGGTTGGCTGAATAGGTTGAATGAATAGGTTGAATGAATAGGTTGAATGAATAGGTTGAATAAATAGGTTGAATGAATAGGTTGAATGAATAGGCTGGATGAATAGACTGAATGAATAGGTTGAATGAATAGGTTGAATGAATATGTTGAATGAATAGGTTGAATGAATAGTATAAAGGATAATATAGTGAATGGCAGACTGAATAAACAATCATCCATACGTGTAATGGTTAATGAATAACGGCACAATAAATGAATAAGTTAAATTATTTCGATTTATTAAATTGCAATGTGCAAAAAAGTCACTCAATGGAATCTTTTGCAGACCGTATAAAATCAAGTTTATTTTCGTGCAAAAATCTGAATGTATACTGAGGATCTAGGATTTGCAAAGTTTACAGATTCTGCGCAGTGCAAATAAAATCAGCTGTTCAGCCCTTTCTAAGTTTCTTTTATAGAAGAAATTAGCATCTATGCATACATAATTTCAAAACTTGTTAAAAATTTACATTTTTCTCAGAATAAAAAGAATATTTGATTTTAAGAGCGATCCACAAATTGAATTGCCCGAAAGGGCCGGTACTCAGTCGTTTATATGTAATTTAAAGTTTTCAAGTACCACTCCATTCATACTGGACTGTATCATTCACAGCGACACCCTTACAGCTTTCTTTTATTAAAAGTGAATGCGCTATGTATGTTTATCTTTATGAAAATTAATGATTTCCAATTATTGTTTCTCCAGCTAGAAAATGACGATTTCATCAACCTGAGGCCAAATTTGAGGAATGTGAGCCGCGGTTGACAGTCACATATTGTTGGATCCATTTAAAATTGTGTTAATTTTTTTAGATTTAAGCCGGCACTCAATTGAAACCAACCGGTTTTTGGAAGATTCAAGACGCGGCTTAAATTCATTAAATTCGGACACTTCGTTGGTTGGATTTAAAGGTTAGATTTAGGTTTAAAGTGTATCGTTGTGAATCTGGCATACCTCTTTTTATACATGTCAATAGAAATTACAACGACAGCGCCTTTAAAGCAACTAAAAAATATAAATGTTTGTAAACGAATCCTCAAATATTACCCAGGCTTTATATTTACCTTTAAGTAATGTTCAAGGCAACACACTGCAAAGCAAACTGAAGTTTAATGATAGAAGATAAGAATTCTAATTCTCCGTATGTATTAGCCTGATTTTATACTATAACCTCGTTGACGCCAATTTATACGTTAAAAATAGTTTAACACGTCGTAAAAATGTAATTTAAGAGACATGTTTATCAAACAATAATAAAATACTGTTGTACAGGTTTATTGTGTTGTTTACAAATTGTTTGTTTAGAACTGGCATTAAAAGTTTAATGTACATATGCAGTACACAAGGAACGAGAAACTTTTTAAAAACTGCGTCTATTCGAAACTGAGTTTTTGTTAGAATAATTGTTAGAGTAATTGTGTCAAAAAAGGTATACTTTGCATTTTCTGGGTAAAAAGGCAAATTAACAAAACTTGATTTCTATTTTTAACTCTTCGCACAAACTGAATACATAAACTTTTATCTCTAAGTAATATTGATATTAGATTTGATAAAATCTTCATTGATCATAACGATCCTTTTAATCCTGTCCTTGGTAACACCATTCTTAGCAAAACTAAGCTTATTGGTTCTATATCTTTTAAACAAGTTCTAAGACGACATTTTTCCGATTTGAAAATATTTAATTTTTTAACATTTTTTATCATCATTACTCTGCTTTCGTTAATCGAGCTATTTAAAGTGGTTTTGAATGGGTTTCTATCTTATCTTAAAATTGTTAAAAAAAACGTGGATTTCTCCATCACTTTTTGTTGACTGTAAATTAATAAATCAATTGATTAATTCATTTAAGATAACTATAGTGTCACACTAGAGCCTACCACCTGCTAAGGCAGTGGATTACTACTAACATAGAGGGAAAGTGGGGTTTCATTCTGTGTTATATTTTTGTTCGAAAACATTATTGATTGAACACTTAACATTTAGCAAATGAATTATTAAATAACTGTCAGGTATGAGTAGGGAACTTATATTTTTATCTACTTCACATTACACATTAGATATATATATATATAAAATCAATGAACAATAGAATATAAAGAAAGGGAAAGAAAGACCTTATTAACTCGTCCTATTTTCTAACATTTATTTTTATAGTCTTAAGTTTTAACTAAATTGAAGACATTTTTAATTTGAATGGAATATAATTATTTTGCAAGAAAGCTTTCAAGCGGAATGGAAAAATCATTTCGCGAAAATTCCACAGTTTGCTCGATTTGTTTTTGTTTCGCTCAAATTACGCATTTTGTACATTGCTCTCCTAGCAAAAAAACGCACATTTTGCGCGGAATTCCACGTTAATATATTTCGCGCAAAAATGCTGAATTTGCGCTTGCTTCCGAAAAATTCATTTGCCCGCACCATTTTTTATGTACTAGAGCTTTATAATTTTACAGGGTTACCTACAAAGAATTCGAGACTGCAAAGACGACTTAAAACTATTCAAATATGAAGAGTTTATAATTGCAGGGAATCATGAATACAAGGATATAGTCAGTACTCAGTATAAAGTGTGTACAGTCTCTGAAGTCTCATCCTTTTTGGGCAACCCTGTATTATAAAGGTCGTATTTTATTTTCTCTGCAGACGACCTTAAATATTGTATTTCTGTTAAGCAAGGTAGTGTAATAAAGGTTATACTCTCGATGCGCTCCAATGTACGGAAAATGTAGTCTGCTAAGATAGAAGGATAAAAACCAATTATGTGGTTACTGATTATATGGATATACTGTACACGTATCTACGAAGTATTGGCATATTGTAACCAGTAAAACCTATTATGTGGTTACTGATTATATGGATATACTGTACACGTATCGACGAAGTATTGACATATTGTAACCAGTAAAACCAATTATGTGGTTACTGATTATATGGATATACTGTACACGTATCGACGAAGTATTGAGATATTGTAACCAGTAAAACCTATTATGTGGTTACTGATTATATGGATATATTTTACACGTATCTACAAAGTATTGACATATTGTAACCAGTAAAACCAATTATGTGGTTACTGATTATATGGATATACTGTACACGTATCGACGAAGTATTGACATATTGTAACCAGTAAAACCAATTATGTGGTTACTGATTACATGGATATACTGTACACGTATCTACGAAGTATTGACATATTGTAACCAGTAAAAAAAACATGACATAAAGTCATCTTTACTGATAAAAAAGGCAACAACAAAAATTTACTTTGTGCAATTAATTGCACAGTTAGTTTTGCAATACAACAAAAATTTTGGGGTATCTGTCCCTTTGATATTCAGAGTAACTTTTAATACATATGTATGTTATTGCACTATATAACCACTACAGATACACATAAAACATGCCACTATACAGACAGACGACTTTTATTTTGAAAATGATATGCGGCATTCATTCGTCTTCCTTATTCTAAAAGTAAAACTCTTGAAATGATAATATTCCTATATATGCCATTTCCTGACATTTCCAAATGTTGTTTATCTTTTTGTGCTTTCAAAATTACATGTTATATGTTTGTTCGTTCAGATTAGGGTTTTCAGCGAACCAAACGTTTCTCGAAAAAAATGCGAAAATTTTTGTTCGTATTTCTCAAACTTTTTCGCGAAATTTTACACTTTTTCGCGAAAATGAATAAAGCAAAAAATGAGGAAACAAAGCAAAATTTTGCGAAAAAGATTTTTGCGAAAATATTTTCGCAAAAACCATAAGGGTTGAAGCTGTATAGCAATTGATTGAGCAAAAAAAAACTCTCACTTGAGAGCTCACATCAGAAGTTTTATTTATACCATATTAATAATTTAATTAATGTTTGATGAAGTATAGGGTGAATTTAAAATATTCCGAATTATTTTTGTTTTTCCGTAAATAAATTTGTTATCGTGTTTTAAGAAAGAGATTCTAATCTAACGGTTGAGAGAGTATTAATAACAAGTAAATCTATGTCTCCTAGTTGTTCTTATATCTATTCATTTTTTTTAAATTCCGTATTTTTCACGAAATTTTCTTATTAGTTTTTTCGCGAAATTTTTGCCTTATTTTTTCGTGAAATTTTCGCGAGCGAACGAAATGCGAAAAACTGGAGGAAATGCGGAAAAAGAAAATTTCGCGAAAGTTTCGCATTTCGCGGAACGATGTCATGTCATGTTTCGTTGGACACCCTGTATGACCAGTGTTTATAAGGATTGGTCGATTTTGAAACCAAGCTTGAGGGCCTAGATACTAATATACCTGAACCTAAATATTCTAAAAACTTTGCGAAAACAAATTTATTTAAAAATTAAATAAATTTTAAGGAAATAAAAGATAAGACAAATCCATGATAAGAACAAAAAAATTATATTTTCAAAATATTTTGCTATGAATATCAAAAGCTGCGTCTTAAGCCGCTGAATACTATCAACAATTTCATTTTTTGAATATTGCATTGTTTGATTTATGGACAAAATACGAGTTTTTATGGAACTCAAATTTTCAATATACAAAATATTTGGTTTAAAAATTAACAAATCCATTTTAAATCAACTTTTCCAATTTTAGTGTCTTAAGACGGATCTTTTGATAAGGGATCAACAGATCAAAAGAATTTTTTTTACTTAAAAGTGACTCTTTTAGCCATTTTTTGGTAAAAAATGTCTGCGAAAAAAATATAAGCGAGCAAAATAAAGTCTTAAAAATCAACTTTGACAACATAGGTCGCTAATAAAAAAGCAAAGGAATCAACCAACCCTAGACTGATATGTATATTTGACTTTTTAAACTTCCCATTTTATTTTAAAAGAATTATACTATATATATTTTTTAACAAATTGGGTATTTTTTATTTTCATATTTTTCACAATTTTTAAGCAACATGGTTGTAATGCAGATAGTCATTTTTTCCAACATTTTTCTTTTCTGTCTACCCCTGTTCACTTTATTTAACTATGTTGTATCAACTACGGCGATAATATCAGAATAATGAAGACGACTTTTTATTTATGTTTTTATGGTTAACAAGCTTTTCTCGAATTAAAAGTAATTAAAGAGAAGCTTTTTAAATTGACAGCTTCTCATTGTTTTCTTGCTTTGCTGTATCAATGCTTTTTAAATTGACAGCTTCTCTTCGTTTTTATGCTTTTCTGTATCAATGCTTTTAAAAAGCGAAACAGAAAATTGTCTTCATTATATTGCTTTAATCGCCTATATCACCATATATATATACATATATATGATTTGATAAGACAATTATTTACTTTGTTATTATTTGTTTTTTGACAAAATATATTTCAATTTTTAATTATTCCACATTTTATATTTTCGTCTTTGATTTTTCGAAAACCAATGTGTTTTTTTTCATGATAAAGAAATTAAACAGATTTTTTTTTCTTTATTTAAATTGGGAAGATCAAAAATATTTGGAAACGGATTGTCAAAAAACAAAATTTTAATGTTTACAAATTTATTCTTAAAGGGACAGTAAAGGAAAAATTAAAGGGGGTATAGGCTGAAAGCTTATCACTTTAGCTCTTGATCGCGACCCATGAAAGTTTTATCTGATGTTCCTGTCTCGAGAAATTGATATAAAACTGTGTTATAATTATACGAAAATTCATATATGTAAAATTTTGAAAATCTGAAACTTAAATCACGTGACCAGAACTATCACCAATGGCAGAGCAGTATACTGGTCACGTGTCTCCGCCTGTATCACGTGACCACTTTACTGCACTGCCATTGGTGGAATTTCTGGTCAAGTAACACGGACGTAAAAATAATATTATGGATGAAATCTATTGAAAATAGAAACAACAAATATAAAAGTAAACCTAAAATACAATTAGCTTTCTCTGGGATATCATCTTTTTCAGATTGGTTGCTGTTTTTCTGAGCATGGTCTGTTTAAACCTACTATTTCTATACAAAAATGTATATATATGCATTTTCGTACAAGTTTGAAACAGCTTTATATCAACTCTCGAGTTAGGAACTTCAGATAGGCGTCTCAAGGGTCTCGATGAAAAGCTAAAGTGATTAGCTTTCAGCCTATACCCCCTTTCATTTTTCCTTTACTGTCCCTTTAAAGGGCACTAGCTCGCTGGAGGTCATGAGCCAGCAGTTTTAGGCATTGTATAGCATAAGCTTGTACCACCAGTTTAACTCTCTGTTTTGCATGCTTGGCTATCTACTTTCTGCCTGTATTATCAGCCATATCCTGGCCAACTGAATTAGACAGAAATGCTCGTCTTGCAATAGCATCTTGGTTGACAAGCTGGGCCTGAACGTAATAAAATCCAGGTTCGGTTGAAGGATTCCAGTATATTGTTCGTTTCCATTCCCTCCTCTAGGTTGATCATGATCCTCCTTCTTGGACCAAGGGAACCAGATGATTTGCACTAAAAAAAGGTTATAACATTTTAAAGAAAAGATTGCGAACTTTTTTGTTCTAAAAACTGATTAGGCATAATTTGAAGAATTTTAATCTAGGCGAAAACTACCTTGTAATGTTATCTTGTCAATATGTTTGTTGACCTTTAAAAAAAGTCAGAAAATATTCAAATAAAGAAATCAGAAAAAAACCAAATATTCTATAACATTTATTTAAGAAAAATAATATTGTTTTGAAATATTTGACCAAGACACAAAGATTGTAAATTGGTTGGTTTAGAAATTAATAAGAAACTATGGACGAATATCAGTTAGAAGGTGTTTGTAGAACTTCATGATGGTGGTGCAGATCATCAATCTTGACGGCAGGCTTTCTCACAACTAGGCTTAGTCTAAGGGAGAGAGATTGCGGACTTATCGTGTATACAGGATAATGGAAGGAAGTCTGGTTCCACCCGGATCTCTGGAACATTGTGGAGCGCGGAGCTAGGTGTAAGCAGTGTCTTCTGCTGTTAGTTCTGTATCTGAATCATCATCATGAAGGAGCCAGGGTTGAGACGGAGTTGTGAATGTCTTGAGTGTTTATAGCTGACTGCTGGGTGAAGCGGGAGCTAGGGTGAGCGGGGATTTGACATGTGTGGTGTGTTGTATTGCGGAAATGGATCCTGAGTACACCCACATCCAGAGAATTAACATCGGCATTTGAGACGGTACAATCGTCTTCCTTATACTTCGAATTTGTTTTAACAATGTTATCTAGGCCAAATTTTATCTAGGCAAACTGTATATCTAGGGAAAATGTTGTCTAGGAGAAAATGTACTAGGCGAACTTGTACTAGGCAAAATGTTATTGAGCTGTACTATTCTAGGTATGAATTCAGAAAGTTTTAAAAGGAGCATTTATAAGAAGCCTTAAAAAGAAAAGTTATATGCTGGGGGGTTCTTGTTCGATTATATTGGATGGGTGACTACAGAACAATCCAGAGATGATTTCAAGGAACTACGAGGTCTGGAAGTCTTTAGCTACCAAAATTCCGGAAGAAATTCTGAGGCGAAGCATTTTTCGAAATGTCTTCTATACAACTTAAAATCGCCTGAGCGGGTATAACAGAAAACAATGTTAATTTTTTTGTTAGAATCCTGCAACTATGTTAAACTAATCTAAAATTATGTTAAACCAACCTAAAATTAAGATAAACCAACCTAAAATTATGTTAAGCCAACCTATAATTAAGTTAAACCAACCTATGATTAAGTAAAACCAACCTAAAATTATGTTAAACCATCTAAAATTAAGTTAAACCAACCTAAAAATATGTTAAACCAACCTAAAATTATGCTGAACCAACCTAAAATTATGTTAAACCAACCTAAAAATTATGTTAAACCAACCTAAAAATAAGCTACACCAACCTAAAAATATGTTAAACAAACCTAAAATTATGTTAAATCAACCTAAAATTATGTTAAACAACCTAAAATTATGTTAAACCAACCTAAAATTATGTTAAACCAACCTAAAATTATGTTAAACCAACCTAAAATTATGTTAA